CTTTGTCATCTCCTCAAAAAGCTCCTTAAGAGCGATAGGGATTTTCATTGTTACCTTATTTTTGGTTGTCTGATCCACCGTACGCTTCTTTGTCTCAAACTCTCTGAACATATCAACAAAATCAGATGTACTCTCCTTGCAAAATTCCTGCATGACATCATTCCCAACAATCTTTACCAGCATCTGTCGAAAGGATTCGTCCACCTTGGTGCCTCCCCAGGAACCTCCACTCGCCTTATCCAGTTCCTTGAGACTTCCATCTGACTGAACCTCGTGCACAGTGATGTCAACGGTTCCTCCTGCAGAAAGGGAATACCATTAGGTTTCTTCTGTCTTCAAAACAGTTGTTTTGTAACATGCATCTTAAACTTCTACAGAACCAAGCAACCACTTTACACTAGTTTCACTGCCTGACTGACTTATTGAACTATGTTACACGTGGACAAAACAGTGTGTGGGGTATACAGTGGCAAATCTTAAAGAATCGGGAAATTAATATCAATAGTATTTTTTTTACTAATAACGTAGGTACCAAGTAAAACCACTTGTTTGGGACATCATAAGGAACAATTGTAGCAAGTTAGGAGTCAATTGGTGTAGCCATTTTTGAAAAGAAGTTGAAAATGTCTCAACCAATCAATGGGCCATGGTGGCCATCTTGGATTTTCAGATCGACATGAAAAAGTAAACACTTGTTCATGACCTCATAAAGAACATGAAAAAATGGTTTTCTGCTGTTTTGCTAAAGTGGAGATATTACAGTTTTGTCAAACAGCATTATCATGTACATGACTATAATAGACATTAATAACACTAGATACACAATGAACACTACATAACAATCACTCAAGTATCTGATTAATGTTGATCTTTTATAAATGCAAGCCATTTTTATTGCAATGTTTAAAACCGAACATATTTGTGCAAACTTGTACGTGTTAACTGCCCCTCAGCACAGCAAATCACAAACAAAATATCATTACTATAGGTAAAAGATTTAAAAGTTTAATGATTTTAACGTATTTGACCCCTGAACATGAACAAAGCTGGAACGGGAAACTCTTCAAACCAGATTTTAACACATTTTGCCCCTGAACGTGAATAAAACTGCTTCATGAATTTATTCAAACTAAGTATCCAAGCATATAGCTAACAAGCACTTTCTGTCAAATGAGTAAATAAACTGTTTGCTTGCATTAATCATCTTGATATCTAAACCTCTTGCAATATCTGTGTATAATTGTTTATTTTACACAAGGTAGAGTGATTTTTGTCATGTAAATTGTCAAATTTTAACATTGTAATGTCAACACTGCTGCAGTGAGAGCATAAAAAACAGGTTAATACAACTGTTGAACATAAAATTGTGTTGGAATTTTACTTTGTGTTTTGAGAGATACCATGCAATATAGTCTCAACGAAATTTTAACCACAGGAAAGATAGACTATGTACATGAATTTGAAGAAAAAACACTAAGTTTATTGAAATTGAACATTATTGCCATAATACTTTACTTCCAAATATGTTTTCGTCCAAATAGACCTAGCAAATCAGTTACAACTTACAAAGATTTTTTTGTGAATTTATCAGATAACAATTAACTATATTTATGTTGAGGAATATAAATAAAGTCAGGTTAGAATATTTGAATTATTTAAATGTTGAGAGTTGAGAGCTAATCCAACTGATACTAGAAAAATAACCATAATGCTTTGTATCATAAAAATAGTGACATATTACTGAAAATCAGTAGCAACACCCCATAAAAATAGCTTTTATTAATTAAATACAACTGGAAATGTCACCAAAATGGCAGCCTTATATAGCACACACACAACCTCCCAACCTGTCTGCATCAAGATCGAACTGTAGGAAAAATTCTTTCAAAAACATTTTTAAACAACCGGGTGTAACCCCAAAAATTGGGGATATACACACATGTGTGCCTTATTCCAATCCCTTTGATGTAAAGGTTCTGTGTACCAAATAGCATTGAAATTGATACAGTAGTAGTGCAAACAATTTTCATAAACAAAGGGGCATAACTCCATAAATCTGGAAGGTAACTCATATTTATTTAATGTATTTGTGTTCCCTAAATATACAGTTGTGGGATCACACAACATTACATGATGAAAACCTGTGTGATGGCTCTTAAACAGGTGGTCGAGAGATATCATAGTTGATAGATGTTCAGGAATTGGCCAGTGAATAAATACGATTTTGTATTTAAACTTACCGGTATATCTTTTCTTATTAAGTATATGTTGCCATAATGAAGCCAGATTTACGTGATTATCTATTCATCTAACAGTGCGACTTAAATTGACACAAGTGTATAGACATAATGGTCATACAGATGCATGACGTGTGCACTTAAAACTAAGATACAATATAAACATAACAGCCTAACCTGTTACCAGTTACATTTGTACCTGTTTATTACAAGGTAACAGGTACATTTCTTGTATCACTTTATAATTTAATCTTGCTTGTATCAAGCATTTTCATTGGCTTAAAAAATTATGTTATCAACCCATAACGTAAAAAAATTACGTCGCCGTTTGTAACGTCACTTTTGATTGGCTGCGATACTGCTGCGCAATAATTTCTAAGAGAAAAGAGTCCATCAATAAAAGTAGATTTCCACAGGGATTGCGTATAGTAGATTAAATTATAAGGATTAACTTGAATATATTTTTCATGTTATGGAGCTATAACACAAAAAACCCGAGTGTACTCTCATCATAAACCGCTTCGGTTTATTTAGAGTACACTCCGTTTTTTTGTGTTATATCTCCATAACATGAAAAATATATTCAAGTTAATCCTTAAATAGCTAGTCAACCTGTGAACCATGAAGAAGGAGTGAAATTTCCATACAAAGCGCAGAAGACAAAATTAATACATGTATTAGGTCCAGTTGTGTTATAATATGATAACTGTCAAATCATCCATGAACTCTAATTGGTAACAACTTCATTCAATTCAGAACCTATATATATGTACTTATAATTCTGTACCTAACAGTACAACCCCATTATTGACAATTCTACATCAATAATATATAACATGATGTATGCACTATGTATGCATGATGTATGCATGGTAATTTTGATGAATTGTGCAATCACACAACTGTATGTACTTCATGTACCAAGTATCATTGAAATCAGTGTAGTGCTTTGGAAGGAATATTGTGTGAAAAACAAATGAACACACAGACTAACAGACCAGATCAACAGCTATAACCCAATTCAAGTACACTGAGTGATCCCCACCTCCAACCAACAACGTTAACCCAGCTTCATTGCTGGAATGGACGGGGGAAATATGCTTGGATTAGAATCAATAATGGATTTATCTTAAGAAAGTCATATCATATATATTGCATTGTGTTAGCTGAACTTAGATGTTATCATACAACCATTTCTTTATCCTACTCCATATCTGCTAAAGCCCCTTGGGCTGATATGGGCAAGGGCTGATACGGAGACTCGGGAGTAGAATATGGAAATGTTCAAATGGTTATCTCTTTTATCATATACTTTTCTGCAACATCAAAAGTGTGAGCAATAACACATACAACTGGCAGAAAAGTGATGAGCTGTGCTACAGTCACACTTTGCCTTAGATAAAACGTCATGAACAGAATAGCACATTCAGACAGATGACTGCGATATTTCCGAAAAACCGTTCAACCAGAAGTTAAATGGATATAGCACCTGCCTAGCAGAAAAATGGGGCATGCCAGGCAGATATGGATTGGTGTGGGATATGACCTATGCACATGCAAAACAACCCACATGAAGGAAAAGTATATAATCAATATTATTATCATAAGGCGATATCAAGTACGTACGTATTGTCTTGTGGTAGCAAGTATTACATCACCTCATATAACCTATTGTAGTAGACAAATGTATCTTATCATGTGACATTATTATTTGGTTGTGATATCCATCACATATTTTATACAAATGTCGTAATCAAAAGTCTCCCACCATTTATCAAGCTGTTATAGCATTTCACCCAAAGAATTGGCAAGAAGTGCCACAGTAATTATCACCCACTGGGATTGTATTAATAAGCATTTCTCAATCTTATATCCATCAGTAACTTATGTTGCAAATGAATTAGTTCAAAATCAACTTTTCGTATTTGAATTCTCACAATTTTATCACCATGCCAATGTTATCACGATAGCCAGTGGTCCTTTTCAGTTTGGTACCAAAAGTATGCATTCAATTTATTTCTCAATTTCATTCTCTCACAAATAAAGCAAATATGTTAAAACTCACACACAATACGATGCATGATGTAATGTTGATTATGACAAAGGCTCAATCATCATGTAACAGAAACAATCTTGTTTTAGTAATCAGATTTTCATATAAATTGGAGTCAGAGAACAGCTGTTCAACTTGAGTTAGACTTTGAAAATTCAAGTTTGTTTTTTTGCTTTGGAAATGAGCAGACTTACCTAAAGCTTATTTTTTACTCAAATATAACTAATTTGTTGCATTGAAAAGCTTTAATTAAAACTGTATGACAGTTGCACTACTGTAAAAAGTCGTGTAATTTGCCCTGTTTTTTTCATGTTAAAATGAAGTTTGAAATTGTATTGTCAGACAAGAGGACTTATACATAATTTTTTTTTATCTTTTTAGATTATTACCATGTGGTCTTATTGACAGGAAGTAGTTCTTATGTGACAGCTATCCTCTGTCTGAACACACCAAGAACTTGAACTTCAGGAAAAATATGGGCAAAGACATATTTAAATCAATGTCTCTAAAATTGACAGTGAGAAACAAAAAACACCTGAGAGTGAGCACTACACTGTGCATGTGACAGCTCAAATGTTTGGGTATGGAATAAGATAGCTAAGGTATTTCTGAGGTACACTGTGGTGCATTGTACAGTATGGTTATTATAGGAAAACATTACTAAAACAAGCTTGTTTTCGTTGTATTAGTTAATTATGACATTAACCTACCTCCAGCATCCAGTACCAGGTATTTGCTGCCCTTTGAGAAACAGGTGAAGCCTTGTTCTGACCCACCCATCTTTTCCACTGGTAGGTGTTTACAGTACAGTGAGGCAGCTTCCGGCTCCAGCGCAATGGTCAACTGGTCACTTTTGATACCAGCCTACACAGTTAAAAAAAAAAAAATCAAAACTGTAAAAGGATTATATTTCATTTTCCCCTTTTTTTGCTGTCCTTACTTTTTCAGATTTGTTCAAATGTCAATTTTGCAGCATTTTTAATTGTTCATGGATTTCAGGTCCAGTACGTAATGTCGAAGGCATTTTGAACAAGACATCCCAGAGGGATCTTAATTTGGCTCCAATCATTGTATCTTCTTCATTGGTTCTATGTAAGATTGATCCTTTCTCTACTTTTGTCTTACCTGTAGAATTGAGTCATGTGAACAGTATAATGCACCTTGTCGTTAAATAAAATTTTGATAAAAGCTTTATACTTTTGTGTATTGCATTGTTTTTTTTCAAATTAAGGTTGTCGTTTGACCTTATTCACTATCACAGTATTGAAATGTAATATAGGGAACCTTAATTTGAAATATGAGAAAGATCTGCCTTGTACTTCGTGGGAAATAGCGATTACAAAGTGGAACTTATTCGAAGGGCGTATAAAAATGAACAAACATATTTTTTTTTTAGTTGATACTATGGTATAAAAACATTGATATTTAATAAAAACTGTCCTGATGGTGACAACTTACCACTTCAGCCGCTTCACGCATGAACTGTTTGGCTGGATCATTCCAGATAGCAGGGACTGTTAGTACCCATTCAATGTCTGTGTCCTTCACATCTGTAGCTCTCTTCTCCAGGGCCTTCAGTAAATGACCCTTCAGATACTTGATCGCCTCGGAGAAGACTTTCAGAGCAGGAAGTTCCTTATCCCGGATGTCTTTCAACGGGATATTCCTTGTCAGTCCCTGCACACATTTTTTTTTTTTTATCAAATATTCCAAGTCATAAATATTTCCACACAATTTTGCTTGCAATGGATAATCAGACATATTAACATACAGTTTGTTTGTGGTGTGAACAATAAAATGTCTGTAACATGAATGCTCCTACTCCATGCAAATTAGTGTCATGGTTAGACAAGTTTCTACTAATAGTAATTATGACCTTGACTCTGACCTTGCAATCTTCTCACACAAAGTGGTCCATTTAGTCAAACAGCATCATGTCTAGTTCATCAACACACATCCCCTATTTACTTATTTTCCCTTCTTCACATCAAATATGGGTTTAGAACATGGACACAGATCATCGTTTATAGTCCACAAAACCCAGTCCTGTTTTCCCTACCTTTGATTTTAACACTGTCTCTTTATCATTGATTATTATAGACTAAAGTTTTCACCTCTGTAAAGCCTGAATTGATATATATTTCACAAAATAAAATGTTTTGCCCACCCACCAACTTGCTCTAATTTTCTTTATTTAGACAGCTGAAACATATCAATGATCTTATTTGGCCTACCCCCATTAATTGCCATCAATTTCAAACACCATATACAGATATCACTAGATGGAGGATAGCTGTATCATACTTACTCCCTTTCCCTCCTTGCCGTACAGCATCATCTTAAACCTACGGAAATAGTACCAATCACCATGGTCATCATCTTCCGCTAACTGGGAGTAGTAGTCCTCAGCTTCGTAACCAAAGGAATGGAAATTTTTATCTTTGTCCAGGAGTACCGTCGTGGGAGTTTTCAGGGACACCAATGCCCTTGACCCTGCAGTCCAGGTACTGGCGCTGACCTTCAAGGGATCAGTTTCAAACTCGTGTCGGAACGAAAATGCGTATCCCGAATAAGTGGTGCCAAAATCTATAGCCGCAACTAACAACCTTCCTGAACTTGCCATCCTGGTTTATTTACAGTGACTGTAAAGTAAAGCATCAAACTTGTCAGTATATTTAGTAGGGTCACTTCAGTAAGTATTCACTATTACTATACAGTATAAAGGCAGTGTTTTATGATTATAACTAAAATACACACAGACACTTTCTCCTATTTGACTGACAGGTTGAATTTTTTAAAACTTCAATTTTTTTACATATTACATTTCTTTTAAGAACTTGATATGTGGAAAACGTAGATATGGAGTATTGTTACATTGTTTTAATTTTGATGATGAAAGAAGAACCTTAGACTAAGTATTATCTCAGTATATACAAATTACAAATGACTGATTATATCTGTAAATGTAATTAACGATGAAAATGCAATTAACTAAATACTCCTGATTTACCCTTATTGTAAAGTCGATGCATCAACCCTTAGAGACAACAGACTTAATTTGATATATTTTTAACAATATAGAAACATAAATATATTCTTAAGCAAATGATAAATGCAATGTAATTCCTTATGCATTAAGCTACAGAATACACCATTCAAAGAGAGTCCAACAATTCCATGTATGTCAATATACATGTTAACCAAAGTTTGAGTTGTCCAAACAGCGCAAATTGTTGCATGAATATAAACAGTGAATGAGTGTGAATAAAGAATTAGACATTTGGATGATTCATGTCAAAACCCTAAGTCATTTCTGCATTTTTAAGATTGAGAGCACAGGTTTCTGAAATTCTGACTGTAGGTCAAGAAATATTTATATAAAAACCTTAAAAACAGTACAACCCTTGCATTTTTTATAAAACTATTTTTCAGCTTACTGTACAATGCAGTCAGAATTAGAACACTGTATGTAACAATACACGTGTCCACCTGCCAAAATGTTTAAAATGTGTAACGGGTTCGGGTGCGGAGAAAACTTTGGACATTCACTTTTCCTATGCCACAATTAAGGAGTAAGCCAATGCTATCTGTTGTTAACAAGGAAATATTTAATCCGCCCATTGATCAGCCTATCCGGAAACTAAATGACAAACTCGACTACTTTATCAACCTGCATTATCGTTGTGGCCGAGATGTCTTTTGCGTTTACGATTTACTTTCGTTTTAACAATGAATGTAGAGGATACTGGTTTACATCGTATTTACAACATAAACTACATATAAAATATAGTTACTCAGTAACCCTACCAGTTTATTATAATTATTCAAGATGAAATGAATTCATTCTAACTGAGATAACGGAACAACAGTCTGACAGTTCAACACTAACATCACATTGGTGCAGAACAGGAACTAATATATACTTCTCAATCAACCTGATGATTAGGAATAATTTGCAGAACTTTAAAATAACTCACTAAATCATATCACTCCCCCGATAGTTGAATAACCACAATATACGCTGATCGTCAGCCAAATATGAAAAACCCGTCCGTGTTAGAATGCCGGGCCCGGTCTACCGTCTCCAACAGTCAGGTGCGTCCACAAATTCTCCGAATGTTAATGTCAAGGTCGGGTTTTACCAATCAGGCTAAATTTAGATCATCTACCATAACAACCATCAAACCCTTTACACATACACGCATTAATGTTTTTAACCGTCAGACAGTGTTCACCCAATGCGATCACCCATCATGAGTGCCCATGGGCGATCCCTGAAGGAATGAGTACGTTGTTTGATGAGTGTCCAGTATTTTTTCGCGCGTCCAGGAATTAGTTTAAAAAAAAAAAAAAATGTACCCATAACTGCTAAACTTCACACATCGATATAAGTATGTTTTAGAAGTGAAAAAAAAGCAGGCCCCCATTTTTGTGGCTGTTTTAGAAAGAAAAAACTTGCTTTTGATTCATTATAAATCTAAAAAAGTTTGATAGCCGAACTTTTTACATCAAGCGTTAAATGGTCATCCACGATATACAAGATAGAGGAACTTTATTTAACGTCGGATACATGTAAACAAGGAACATTAGCTCTTTGGAGCTATTATTGCGACAAACATATGTAAAATAACAATAATATATTATATTACAAGTAAAGGGAGATAATCACATATACTATTAATAAAAAGCAGGAATAATCATCACAGAAAAAGAAAATATCCATATCACAGGTTTCTAAGTGTTTGGGAGTTCCCTACCTACAAAGGCCCCCGGGATATGACCCATTTGAAACAATAGATATATAAAAATAGTGTTAATATGTGAAAAGCATTAAATGTGATCACAGCCAGTAGTATTCAGAATAAGTAAATAAAACACATACAGATGTAGTTAATAGTGAATGAATAATTGTATATCACACAAGAATTACTTAGGACTTAGGATTAAAACACTATGAAGTGAAATATACAAACAATGCTAATATAGCCAAACAAATCAAAATTGACAGAATATACACTATTATAGCCTACCGAAATCAATAAACAAAAATTATTAAGTTTTGTAAAAAATTATACTTAAGAATATGTATGGAATTAAAATACAAATAAGATGCTGCAAAAATATAGAATATAATTAAAACATATTAGAAATGAAATGAGACAATAAAAGTATCACACAATCCAAAATGTCAGGTAGCAGAGGTAACCGGGGCACAGTATGAAGTATCACTCTTTGCAGATATTGCAAAGGCAGATGGGGCCATCCCAGGAATGAGTAATGTGTCATTAAATAATAAGGGATAGGGGCACGGACTTAGACAGCAATTTAATTCCGTGGTAGGGTTAACTTAAATTGCTTTCTGAGTAAAAAAAATAAGATTTAGAAATGTTACTGTCATAATTTAAAAGAAAATACTATTTTTATCAATTTTGCACACATTCATACATATCTGATAACACACATGGAAGATAATGTATGAGTTTGTTCTGCAAATGATCAAAACCAAAAATTCACCTAAATTCATATACTATGTTAATTTGGTGTTTTTGACCGATCACAGAACAAAACAATTTCTACTATGCCATTGACTCCTTTTTTCAAATCTGCCTATAAGAAAATAGGTTTGATAGAGGATTTTGTCGACTTCTCAGAGGTGTCCATCCTTTAAGACCCATACTATGATACATCATAACAAGCTTGTCTACATTCATATCGGTGCATCAGCTGTTCTAAAAATGCTGTCAATATACAATGACCGGCATCATATACTGTTACAAAGGCGTGATTACTACTATGACTATATTCGTGTTATTACGACTTTTGAAAAGCGTTATTACGATTGTTTTCGCGTTATATCGACTCAAAAAAGGCGTTATACGACTTAATTTGCGTTAAAACGACTTCTAAAAATGCATTTATACGACTTTTTTTCGCGTTTTAACCACTTCTAAAAGGCGTTATTACGACTATATTCGCGTTATTACGACTTTTGAAAGGCGCTATTACGACTTTGTTCGCGTAATAATGCGATTTTGAAATTCATTTTCCGTTCAAAAGTTGACCCTTCTATGCTTTCGTAAAACATAACTTACTTTGATTAAAACTGGTGTAAATTAATGAACCGTTCCTTCTACTGGTATTTCGATACGAGTTGTTTCCCTTCCATTGCATACAGCGCAAAATCGTGCAGTTGTTTTTTGGGCGCTCGAAAACCTCTCTGGACACTCCTACATATCATTGTCCGAGTCCATTACTTCTTCAGAGTCTCAATTATATGTTAAATTAAACACTTCAATGAAAAAAAATGCCTTTTGGAAGAATAATAAGAATTTGATGCGAAATTTACAAATATACATAAAGCATCTAAGATAAAGCTAAAGGACAAAAGCTACACAATGTGCATGACAATGACAATTGTTTTATTCTCATAAACAATATAATGTAGAGAATGTAGATCAGGGTAGGGAGTCACGTGACAAATGAGTAATGTACAGACGAAAATCTGACATGGAGGCCAGCGCTTCGGGTAAGTAATTATACTATATATGTCGTAGTACTGATCCGATTCAAAAGCGAGTAGGCGCAAAGAATGTCCGAAAACAACCTCTATCAGCCACACACAGTTGTTGCCGTAGTTTTGTGTTTTTGTGCCAACCACGATACAACTTTAAATCGAGACACTGGGCCGTAAACAATATATTCTTTATTTGAGGTTATCGGCATCTTCCAAGATTATTTTCTCCATATTTCGTAGACATACTTAAACAATATCGATTTTGCTATTCAAAGACAGCGTCGTTTACGAGGATTTATGTGAAGTTTCAGAATTTAATACAAATGAGGCAGGGAGGTCCCTATCCTTATCATAACAAGGATTCGGAAACATATGGTAACAAAGGATGAATATCTGGTATTTCATCTTTCGAAGAATTGAAAACGGATTGGTAGACTTTCCTTGGATATCAAACAAGCATAGTTTTATTTGCAAGCAGGGAATGCAATACTGTTTCCAGACAAGGATTACATTGTTATTTCCACAGAATCCATCAGTTCCTTGAAATCCACAGCCCTGGTAACGTTGCTATTAGAAGTCTCTCGTTACTAATAACCTCTCATGAAAAATCTGGCACATATTACTATAAGCCATATGCTTTATAAAAGAAGGGAGCAAATGTTTATCATTTTCAGCTTTAATAACGGAAGCTATACTCATAGGTAAAATAAAAAACACGTACATTTTGTCATTCGTACAGATGATTTTTTATTATTTGTATCAGTATGACAATGTAACTGTAATCAAACCAATATGATAAGGAATGAGTAAGTTGGGTAAGTTTGCTGCGGCTATTTTTAAGTGCTTTTGGAAACAGCTTGGATGGTCATTGTTAGGTCTATACATTCTATAAAACACGACATTTTACATGATTGATACAGATATGATCTTAATCTGTTAAATATACAGGACTTTAATAACACGCTTTGATCAAGCAGACGTCCCGTACCTGGTACAACTGTATCTTATCTACGGTTGTGTCATTAATAGAAACAACATAGAGTTTTACCATATCGATACCATACGTCGTTGCCAGCGTTGACAAACCTGGACTAGCAATGGACTACTGTATTGAAATGGGCCATCCTCTTATAATGCAACCATGTCAGTCGTTCTATTTTTTGGCGCATACCTTCCACATGTGTTATTTTATATATACAGTTTAACAGAATGCATGTACAGACAAAGCGCTCTTGTTGTAGTTATCAAACGACCTTTAGAACTGTTTCTGCTCCTAGCCGAAACATAATGCTAGGTTAAACATGTCAAGGAAAAGCAAATGCAAGTAAATTAATTTTTAATCGAGGTTCAGACGGTGATACTATTTTAAGCTAGTCCACGTATCATGTGGCATATTCTATTGTAAGCGTGCTTGAACTTGACACAGCTAGTCAAGATGAAGTGTGAATTAAAACCCTTTTATGGTAGGTTCTTACATAAAAAAAAAGATTACCCAAAGCCCCAGCTAGTGAATAAGAAGAACAGCTTGAGTCTATAGAAAATTTGGTAATCAATCAAAAGTCAGTAAGACATGAGGCTAGTCAGTACTGTAATTGTTCATATCCATGCATCCTCTCGTGTTCTGATTTTACAATATAAGAATACACATGTAAGATCATGACTCGCGTGCATATATGTAAATATACAGTTACTATAATTATTGATAATGTTGGGGCCGATAAAGGACCCCTTCCCCTAGAGACTCAATATAATTTATGCATATCCTACGTGTTTATGATGGTGTTTATTATATCTTCTAAACTTCCGCCGATAGCCGAATTTGCTAATTTGATGAAGAAAATATGTAAAGCAGTAAAAATTAATTGTCTATAATTATCATTATATTTTTTTTTCTAAGCTAATCAAAATACCTCTCTCATTTCAGGTTGTTTATAGATTGTATGTCTAAAGAATTACTTAACTTACTATAGATGTTATTATTTAGACATCAAGAAACTTTGACAAAGTACGAAAGTCTCAGTATTTTAAACAAGAACGTGGTAATGCTGTGACTAACCTTCGGGTTTTTAATATCAATAATATTTATTTATTTTAATTTATTATTATATATTGTCATTTTTTTAAAAATAAAAAACACTTTAAAATAAAAACACACCTTATATTATGAAAGAATTAAATGAAATATACTAAATTTACTTCCTCAGTGGTTTTTTTTTATATATTGTTTTTAAGATTTCGTGAAAGTGCTCGACACATCTCTTCATGCTAAGTTTAACTTTCACATATTTTCACTTCTTTGACATTTGAAAAAAAACTGTATTACTTTAATTATATTTTCGGAAATAATTTGTACTTGTTGAAGTACAAATGTACGACAAAATGCTATAGTTTTAACATGGAATAAATTGACACCGTGAGACTGATTGAATTCCTGTTTGACAAATCTTTTTAAAGTTTGGTGACGAGGTTTTCTAGCAGACTGCTATTTGTAGTATACTCACAGGGGAAAACAAAGTCTCTCTTCTTGGTCGACTTATCAAAGACCTTGCGAGGTTCTTCGTTTTTAATTTCAGATATATAAAGATTTTTTGATTTTTTTGAATAACAAGACATTCATTATGTACACCGATTGTGTACACCTTCCTCACTTCGATCTCAAGAAAACTACATATTTCATCGCATCAGTGGCTTTCCTCGATATTTACTGACAACATGACACGTACGGACGACTTCAACTATTTAGCTATTTTATAAGCGTGGCGATTTCGATTTTCCTATGCTGAAGTTCCTCTTTCCTTGACGAAACACATCTGTTTAAGTTTCTCTTTCATTGACGTAACACTCCTGTTTATGTTTCTCTTTCCTTGACCTAGCACCTCTGTTTAAGTTTCTCTTTCCTTGACGTAACATACCTGTTTACGTCTCTCTTTCCTTGATGTAACACCTCTGTTTATGTGTCTCTTTCCTAGACGTAACACCCCTGTTTATGTTTCTCTTTCCTTGACGTAACATCCCTGTTTACGTCTCTCTTTCCTTGACGTAACACCCTTGTTTACGTCTCTCTTTCCTTGACGTAACATCCCTGTTTACGTCTCTCTTTCCTTGACGTAACACCTCTGTTTATGTTTCTCTTTCCTTGACGTAACATCCCTGTTTACGTATCTCTTTCCTTGATGTAACACCCCTGTTTACGTCTCTCTTTCCTTGACTTAGCACCCCTGTTTACGTCTCTCTTTTCATGATGTAACACTCCTGTTTACGTCTCTCTTTCCTTGACGTAACACCTCTGTTTATGTTTCTCTTTCCTTGACTTAGCACCCCTGTTTACGTCTCTCTTTCCTTGACTTAGCCCCCTGTTTACGTCTCTCTTTCCTTGACGTAACACCCCTGTTTAAAGGGGCATCACGGTGAAGTGTATATTTTTTGTCTCATTTTTCAAATACTTCATAAACATATCAAGTGAGTCTCCCTATGGAAAATAACGATCGAATTTGGCTGATAAATATTCATAAAACTGAATAATTTTAAGATAAGCATCGGGATTTCTACCTGTCTGACTAACGTTTTTTTTCCAGGGATATCCCCCTACTAGCGCATGCATATAGCACGCCATTTCATTGTAAACAAAATGTGAAGCCGTGTGAGGAAACCGTTACCGCGTCAGCTACGAAGCGAAAAATTGCTAAATGGTCAAAAGATAGCGCAAGGATGACGTTACGGAATCATTATTGAAGGTGGGAAGTATTCAAAGGAGAAAATAACTGCCCTAATCAGTTACTACGGTGCATGTATTCTTCCGGATAGCCGGTTTAGGCTGAAATGTAATCGACAGAAATGCTGTTTATATTATGAATAAATATCTAAAACTATTAACCTCGCTAGTATCTTTGTCTGAGTTGAAACACAGATGAACTGATTTTGTTATGTTAATGGGCATGTATCGGAGAGAGTTTACTTTGTGTTTCTATAAACAGTAGTTTATGCAAAAGGAAGGGATAAGTGACTGGTTAGTTTGATTTTGCTATGAGGCCCTCCAAGGGATAACTGGTGTGATAGCTACGGCGTATTCTGTTCTCTCTTCTGTCGGTACTCGGGGTCAAAGTAGATACGTGCGCTATTAGATTTACATAATTTATAATATTCCCGGGTTCAGTAAAATGGTATGATTTTATTATATTGCTGAAGTAAACGATTTTTTTTATTTACATGCAAAATTTAAATATGTCAAAATGACGGTTCAGGATGAATAACTGAGGAAGGAGAACCTATAGTATATAGGATCGCATAACAAAAATATTTTTTAAATCGTTATGTTTCAACAGTTCATGTTTTCACATGATGTTGACTTAGAATGTATGATCATGCAACAACTTTCTCTCTATAAATAATTAATTTTCGGAATACGCATTGAAAACGGGGAAAAAAGTCATTTGTTTACGTTGTAAAAATGACGCGTGCTGCCGATAATTACGGCTTCTGTGTTGGAGAAAAATAACTGATTAAAGAAAAGTTGTCTCAGCATAAAAAGGGCCCATTTGCAAGTATGCTTTAATCTATGTAAAGTATTGAAAACATAAAATTATCAAGTATCTCAACACGTTCAATATCTGAGACATATTCTACATGAACACGTAGTGGTTTTGGCTAATATGACTTACTAGGTGTTAGCGTATAAAGACAGTGAAAGTGGGAAAGAGAGTATACATGAATATATACTGTATATATAATGTATGGTCTAGAAAAAAAAAGTGGCCAAAGACATTGAGTTGTACAATGCAAAAGAAATTCACAACCGTTTCTCTTTTTTATACTTGGCAATGCATATGCATTTTATGAACACAATTGAAAAGGGAAATTCGTCTCGTGAATATTCCTTTTTACAGAAAGGTTTGCCCCTTGTTTGAGGGAAGGTGTTTAGCGTGATGCCCCATTAAGTTTCTCTTTCCTTGACGTAACATCCCTGTTTAAGTTTCTCTTTCCTTGACTTAACACTACTGATTAAATCGATTTGCTATTCGCGGACATCCTCGGAATATCACGGTTTTTGTGATTGTAATATATGTGAAAAGGACAAACACACAGCAGAGAGTGGCAATAGATGTAGCTGAATGAAGACTTGGGGGGGGGGGGGATGAACTCTAATAACACTTCAGTGTTCTCAAAGTTTCCAGACCATGTAAAGTCTTACACTGAATGTATCGAAACGTTTACACAGTCTGGCATCACATACTCAGTATGTCGTTGCAGTCTCCTTACGTTAACGATTTTTTTCTTCAAAGGTCGCGTAGATTATGTCAATGTATTAGGCTCCTGTATCCATTTATCAATAGGTTTTAACACTAATTCCTTTCGTTATGTATTGATTTATGTGCAACATCTGGAACTTATTACAACAATCATACTAGGAGTGCAATATGTCACTCTTGATTTGCGAACTGTGATTGTATTGCTGTGTGCTCGGGTCTTATCATATTACAGAGACAGGTGACAGTGTTTTTGCCAGCCTACGTCTGATATCTTATCATATCTACAAAGAAAGGCGACCAGTCCTACAGTTGAACGTTGACATTATTGCATTTAACTACACCGACCACCAAACCTGCAAATGACTTATGATTGGTATTTTATTATATTTAAATAGGCAGACGACCAATGCTGCACTACCGTTGACATTTTACACAGCCAAACCTTATGCTGCCATAACCGGCTGATATGACATTGTATCTAAATCGACAGCGACCTATTCTATCAGCAACCACGTGATGTCTTGATGTACCTACATCGACGGACGACTTTTGTTGAAAGTGACCACCTGATACCGTGCTGTATTTACATCGACATATGACCTATGCTATCATTGCCTGTGGTCAACTCGTATTTAAATAGGCAGACGACTGTTTGATACTATCAACAATGGGGATCATTAGGTACAAGTGTGTGGTTATCGGATGTATATCAGTTACTTTACTGTGTTGCTTTTACATCTTCGAAAGTAACTCCCAGAATGGTGAGTACATTGACCTATTTGTTGGATCAAGTTTGTGCATAGACATTGAATTATTTGTTAAACTTAATTATAAAATGAAACTTCTATTTGGCACATTTACAGACGAAAGCGTCTGTTTTTATTTTCATTGTATATTAGTTAAAACATTTCTAAAATACTAATAATAAAACAAGTATTGTTCCGGCCTGCATTGTACAGTAGCATTAATTATGTCTGGATTTACATTTACGTGTTACAATGAAACTCGGTCATTTCACGTTATAATACTATCACATGGCATACCGTCTAGCGCATGTAAAAAGTAATATTATCATTATATGAATTGATTTATTGATCTATTGGGGTAATACGTTTAGTAAGTAAGGTAATGTAATGCATTGAAATATAAATATCCGCATTTGCACGAAGCTGTTCTTTCTAATATTAAATCATATAAACCTTAATAGACGTTTTAATGGCATTTGATTTTTAAATAATCTCACCATGTTTTCCTTGAAAGAGTTATGTTTCATGTTAAGAGTATGTCTAGGTACAAAAGCGTATCCTGACCTCATATTGAGAGTGTGTCTGGGTACAAGAGCGTATCCTGACCACATGTTGAGAGTGTGTCATGTAGAGAGTGTCTGGGTACAAAAGCGTATCCTGACCAGAGTGTGTCTGTGCAAAAGCGTATGCTGACCACATGTTGAGAGTGTGTCTGAGTACAAAAGCGTATCCTGACCACATGTAGAGAGTGTCTGGGTACAAAAGCGTATCCTGACCTCATATTGAGAGTGTCTGGGTACAAAAGCGTATCCTGACCACATGTAGAGTGTGTCTGGGTATAAAAGCGTATCCTGACCTCATATTGAGAGTGTGTCTGGGTACAAAAGCGTATCCTGACCACATGTTGAGAGTGTGTCTGGGTACAAAAGCGTATCCTGACCACATGTTGAGAGTGTCTGGGTACAAGAGCGTATCCTGACCACATGTTGAGAGTGTGTCTGTGCAAAAGCGTCTCCTGACCTCATATTGAGAGTGTGGCTGGGTACAAAAGCGTATCCTGACCACATGTTGAGAGTGTGTCTGGGTACAAAAGCGTATCCTGACCACATGTTGAGAGTGTGTCTGGGTATAAAAGCGTATCCTGACCACATGTTGAGAGTGTGTCTGGGTATAAAAGCGTATCCTGACCACATGTTGAGAGTGTGTCTGGGTATAAAAGCGTATCCTGACCACATGTTGAGAGTGTGTCTGGGTATAAAAGCGTATCCTGACCACATGTTGAGAGTGTGTCTGGGTATAAAAGCGTATCCTGACCACATGTTGAGAGTGTGTCTGGGTATAAAAGCGTATCCTGACCACATGTTGAGAGTGTGTCTGGGTATAAAAGCGTATCCTGACCACATGTTGAGAGTGTGTCTGGGTATAAAAGCGTATCCTGACCACATGTTGAGAGTGTGTCTGGGTATAAAAGCGTATCCTGACCACATGTTGAGAGTGTGTCTGGGTATAAAAGCGTATCCTGACCACATGTTGAGAGTGTGTCTGGGTATAAAAGCGTATCCTGACCACATGTTGAGAGTGTGTCTGGGTATAAAAGCGTATCCTGACCACATGTTGAGAGTGTGTCTGGGTATAAAAGCGTATCCTGACCACATGTTGAGAGTGTGTCTGGGTATAAAAGCGTATCCTGACCACATGTTGAGAGTGTGTCTGGGTATAAAAGCGTATCCTGACCACATGTTGAGAGTGTGTCTGGGTATAAAAGCGTATCCTGACCACATGTTGAGAGTGTGTCTGGGTATAAAAGCGTATCCTGACCACATGTTGAGAGTGTGTCTGGGTATAAAAGCGTATCCTGACCACATGTTGAGAGTGTGTCTGGGTATAAAAGCGTATCCTGACCACATGTTGAGAGTGTGTCTGGGTATAAAAGCGTATCCTGACCACATGTTGAGAGTGTGTCTGGGTATAAAAGCGTATCCTGACCACATGTTGAGAGTGTGTCTGGGTATAAAAGCGTATCCTGACCACATGTTGAGAGTGTGTCTGGGTATAAAAGCGTATCCTGACCACATGTTGAGAGTGTGTCTGGGTATAAAAGCGTATCCTGACCACATGTTGAGAGTGTGTCTGGGTATAAAAGCGTATCCTGACCACATGTTGAGAGTGTGTCTGGGTATAAAAGCGTATCCTGACCACATGTTGAGAGTGTGTCTGGGTATAAAAGCGTATCCTGACCACATGTTGAGAGTGTGTCTGGGTATAAAAGCGTATCCTGACCACATGTTGAGAGTGTGTCTGGGTATAAAAGCGTATCCTGACCACATGTTGAGAGTGTGTCTGGGTATAAAAGCGTATCCTGACCACATGTTGAGAGTGTGTCTGGGTATAAAAGCGTATCCTGACCACATGTTGAGAGTGTGTCTGGGTATAAAAGCGTATCCTGACCACATGTTGAGAGTGTGTCTGGGTATAAAAGCGTATCCTGACCACATGTTGAGAGTGTGTCTGGGTATAAAAGCGTATCCTGACCACATGTTGAGAGTGTGTCTGGGTATAAAAGCGTATCCTGACCACATGTTGAGAGTGTGTCTGGGTATAAAAGCGTATCCTGACCACATGTTGAGAGTGTGTCTGGGTATAAAAGCGTATCCTGACCACATGTTGAGAGTGTGTCTGGGTATAAAAGCGTATCCTGACCACATGTTGAGAGTGTGTCTGGGTATAAAAGCGTATCCTGACCACATGTTGAGAGTGTGTCTGGGTATAAAAGCGTATCCTGACCACATGTTGAGAGTGTGTCTGGGTATAAAAGCGTATCCTGACCACATGTTGAGAGTGTGTCTGGGTATAAAAGCGTATCCTGACCACATGTTGAGAGTGTGTCTGGGTATAAAAGCGTATCCTGACCACATGTTGAGAGTGTGTCTGGGTATAAAAGCGTATCCTGACCACATGTTGAGAGTGTGTCTGGGTATAAAAGCGTATCCTGACCACATGTTGAGAGTGTGTCTGGGTATAAAAGCGTATCCTGACCACATGTTGAGAGTGTGTCTGGGTATAAAAGCGTATCCTGACCACATGTTGAGAGTGTGTCTGGGTATAAAAGCGTATCCTGACCACATGTTGAGAGTGTGTCTGGGTATAAAAGCGTATCCTGACCACATGTTGAGAGTGTGTCTGGGTATAAAAGCGTATCCTGACCACATGTTGAGAGTGTGTCTGGGTATAAAAGCGTATCCTGACCACATGTTGAGAGTGTGTCTGGGTATAAAAGCGTATCCTGACCACATGTTGAGAGTGTGTCTGGGTATAAAAGCGTATCCTGACCACATGTTGAGAGTGTGTCTGGGTATAAAAGCGTATCCTGACCACATGTTGAGAGTGTGTCTGGGTATAAAAGCGTATCCTGACCACATGTTGAGAGTGTGTCTGGGTATAAAAGCGTATCCTGACCACATGTTGAGAGTGTGTCTGGGTACAAAAGCGTATCCTGACCACATGTTGAGAGTGTGTCTAGGTACAAAAGCGTATCCTGACCACATGTAGAGAGTACTTTTGTATACAAAAGCGTCTCCTGACCTCATGTTGGAAGTTTGTCTGTGTTCAAAAGCGTATCTTGACAATATGTTGAGAGTACGTCTGTATGTCAGTATATAAAAGCATATCCTGACAATATGTTGAGAGTACGTTTGGGTATAAAAACGTATCCTGACCACTCGTTGCACTTGTTCAGATTTCCCCTGCAATTCCATGATATTACACAGAGGATACGTCGTCATTCAAAGTGATAGGCACTCAATATCATTGTGTTGTATCTTTGAGCAAGATACTTTACTCCGATTGTTCCAGTCTACTCAGATGTAAATGGGTACGTGGTTGAGCAGTGTTAGAAATGTAGAATGCTAGCTGTGAGCGCCAAAATGGCTGCACCGGCTGTATGCTCCCCAGGGAGTTGAGCAAGATATTGGCTGGTTGCAAAGGCCATATAATCACGGATAATAATTTGTGAACCGCTTAGAGACGACGTACGAACTAGGTTGTGATAAAGCGGTAAAATCAGATCTTTAGGAGGACTGTTTTCCTCTTTGGTACAAATTGAAGCCTCAAGTTATCACATATGTAGGTTTTGCATTTTAGTTGTAAATATGACCTATCCATCGAATACACATGCCAGAGAAAGCTCGCAGGAACTTGATATATCTATATAAGCCGAATAGATTAATGTGATACTTATAAAGGACGGGTAACGCTTGCGATAAAGGCTATACATTGTTTGTGAAATGAAGTGGTAGTGAAGGTTCGATTTTTGATAGGCCATCATTGAAGTCAAGATATGAGAAGAAACATACTGTGCTTTTAGTATGTAGGCCTATGATGTCAAATCAAAACACGTAGTGCTCACACATTTTTATCATAAAGAATTAAAATCATTAAAAAATGAAAATAAAATAAAAGGATTCGACAAATACGATAATACATTTTAGCAATGACATTGTGCCCGACGACATTTCTATAACAAAATTTGTTATAACCATCATCAAATTTAACTTTCATTCAAATGCGGTTTTTTCTATATTAAAATTGATCACAACCAGCTAGTTATCAATATCATGTCAACGTATGTATTTTGATTGGTAGTTTATGATATGTCTTCAGTATTACCTCGGCACACTCGTGCATAATAAATGTGAGATTATATTATCAGCGGTAACTTAAATCGTTGACTACACGCATACAAAAGTATGTTAATTCTATAGAGGTGAAATGTTGTACATGAATACATCATATTTTTTAGAAATAAACTGTACATTAATACTAATTTAACTTGTAAACGTTACGTACCCGGTACAGTAATAGGTAAGTGTTTTCTACGTTACAAAACAAGCATGTGACACATGTCATTATGCCGTGATTCCATATATAAGCAGTCGGAAAATAAATTTTCGCCGGTATTTACTTTTTGCCTTTTTTCAATTTTCGCAATGAGGGCGCATTTTTTCTGATGACGAATA